ATAACATAATTCAATAACAACATAATTCTCAAGAATTATCTTATTTTCTAAAAATATGATATATTCTTATAATTTGTTTTATTTATATATAAAATATATAGAAATATTAAAAATTTGATAAATAAATAAAATTAACTAAACTTATAGAGAACATGACAACTAAGCAAATTTATAGAAAATAAGATAATTCATATAAATTCGTTTTATTTACAAATAATATATATATAAATATTAAAATATGATAAATAAATAAAATTACCTAAACTTGTGGAGAATATAACAACTAAGCAAATTTGCTTCTTAAATAATAGTATAGAAGATTTGTTTTATTTATAAATAAGATATATATAACTATTAAAAATATGATAAATAAATAAATTACCTAAACCTATGGAGAACATGACAACTAAGAAAATTTACTTCTTAAATAATAGTATAGATATATAACTATTAAAAATATGATAAATAAATAAAATTATCTAAATTTATGGAGAACATGACAACTAAGCGGAAAATATATTTTCAACATAACATCATAATACATAATAATTATCTTATTTTAGAAAATATCAAATTATTAACATAAATTTGGTTTATTTATATTTAAATATTCAATTATTAATAGAAATTCGTTTAAGATAAGTATAAAAGTCTTTATATCTTAATTTAAAATTTCAGTTTTATAAATAAAAATATATTTCAAGATAATAACATAATTCAATAACAACATAATTCTCAAGAATTATCTTATTTTCTAAAAATATGATATATTCTTATAATTTGTTTTATTTATATATAAAATATATAGAAATATTAAAAATTTGATAAATAAATAAAATTANGTATAAAAGTCTTTATATCTTAATTTAAAATTTCAGTTTTATAAATAAAAATATATTTCAAGATAATAACATAATTCAATAACAACATAATTCTCAAGAATTATCTTATTTTCTAAAAATATGATATATTCTTATAATTTGTTTTATTTATATATAAAATATATAGAAATATTAAAAATTTGATAAATAAATAAAATTACCTAAACCTATAGAGAACATGACAACTAAGCAAATTTATAGAAAATAAGATAATTCATATAAATTCGTTTTATTTACAAATAATATATATATAAATATTAAAATATGATAAATAAATAAAATTACCTAAACTTGTGGAGAACATAACAACTAAGCAAATTTGCTTCTTAAATAATAGTATAGAAGATTTGTTTTATTTATAAATAAGATATATATAACTATTAAAAATATGATAAATAAATAAAATTACCTAAACCTATGGAGAACATGACAACTAAGAAAATTTACTTCTTAAATAATAGTATAGATATGTTTAATATTTATTAAATTATTATTCATATTGTGTAAAACATTGTTTTATATTTTAAAATAAAAAGGTACTTTGTAGTTTCAGTGAGAAAAAGGCTTCATCGAGCCTAGCTTGCAAGTGTCGGTGTCATTTGGTAGGTTTGAGAATGATATACTCTCATGGGAAAAGTTTTCTGCTTTCTCTCCAAACAAGTACTTGGAGGAAGTTGGTAAGTTTGCAACTCCAGGGTCTGTAGCACAAAAGAAGCTAGGCCTATTTCGAAGCTCATTACAAAAAGATCGCTGAGAAGAAAGCTGAGATCATGGACCAGGAGAAGAAACAATTGGACAAGAATGCTTCTTTTAGATCGGTCGTTAGAGATCA